TTTTCTTTTTTTTTTTTTTTTTTTTCTACATTAACTTGGCGTTAAACACAGTTTGCACATCAATGACTGTAAATTTAACCATTACACATTTATTTTTCTTTCTAAAAAAATCAATTTTTATTAATATAAAATGCAATTTTTTACTTGCTATACATGACACGTTTCTTGAGAAAAAAAAAGAAGAAGAAGAAGAAGAAAATGAAGAAACATAATTGAATAGAAAGAAATATAATTAGCAATTTTCGTGTAAATGATAATGCATCATTAAAATAACACATTAAATATATTTTCTAATTATTTCCGTGTTTCATAATCATCATTATCACTTCTCAAGTATTATCGATTTTAAACTAACAAGTTTATTCCCAAGACTGCAACTTGAACAAGACTTCTTGGGAAATATCCAAGAAAAGAATAGTTAAGGAAGTGTTAAATATTTTGGTATTTGTTTACAACATAAAACAAATTACTAAAGTATTTTTTTTTAACTTTTATTTAATATAATAATAATAATAGATTAAAAATAATTTAAAATTAACCTTATTAATTTCCATGTTTGTAAAGAAAAAATATATATATATATACTGTATATCATTTTATGAAATTTTTTCACGTTTCTAATAAAAGAAAGCTATTCTTTCTGAAAATATATACAATTTCCGATATGGTAAGTTGTAATATTTTAATCAACTCCACCCATCATTTAAATTATGAGCTTAAAAAATCATTAACGTGCTAAGTCACACACGTAATTTTACATTCTAACAAGGTTTCTCAACGAAATAAAACGTTAAAATTACTANTCATGGAGAAGAGAGCCATCAGAACCGTTTCTACTAGAGTAAGGGATTAATTCAACCAATACGAAACTCTGCACCATAAAATTTCCTACACTATAAAAATTTTCTAGAAAATAAATTAATTTTTTATATATATATAGGCCTATATAATATATTATACACCTTAAAATCATTCATTGCTCAGTAAAATGTTACTTTGAGTTTTGGAAATTTATGTGCTGGATTTCATGCCTTGGGACTGGCTTAGATACAAATATTACCTTACACACGCCATTTATTTTGCGATAAGAGCTTGATGAATATTTATAGTGATGTCGGACGAGTTTAAATTGTAGAATATCTTTCAAAGCTTTGTGATATCCTTCAACCATAAACTTTATATCGAAATCCAAGCTGTTATCTTACTTAAAATTTAATAAAACAAAATAAAATTATCTCTAATTTTATCAGTTTACATCAATTCTTCTCAATTTCCTTTTAATTCGTTTCATCTTTCCAAGATTATTCGAAGATCTCTAGGGATCGCGAACTACTTGTTGATAATTAGGGATTTAGAAAAATAGCAATTTTATTACTATTAAATAAGGTAAAAAAATAAAAATAATTTCTAAAAAATCTCAAACAATATTTATAATATTTTAGAGATAAAAATATGCAAATTTTTCTAAAATTTTTATTTAAAGATAAAGAAAAAATTTACCTTTTGGCACCAAGCCATAAATTCGTCAAATGTGATAACTCCGTCTTTATTCGAATCAATTTGCTGCAAAGTAAAGCATTTATATGTATATATAAACGTTAAATCTTTATAAATTAATAAAGAAACAATCAATTTTTTTTAAAATGATTATTCTAGAAATCATCATTTATTTCAGATAGCGGTTTATCTCTAGAATAAGGAAATAGATCAGGAGCAATAGATGTAGTAATTTGAAAAATTGCTTTCAGATTAGATTATTCGCTTTATGGTATATAGAAGACATAAGAAATCTTTTATCTGTCTTCCTTCGTATCTATTCTAAAGTACTAAAAAATGTATTCAATTTATAAAAGAAGCGAACTGAGTAAAGTTGATATCGCTAACTCCGAACAAATAAAGTATATATTTCATCAAATTAAGCAAACAGGAAGCCAGAGATGAAAATCGATAGTAAATTAACCATAGAAGAACAATTTTAAAGTTAAAGATATCGAGAAATATCATACGATAAGATGAAATCGTGAAAGTTTCGGGTTACCAATACTGGCACCATTTTTTTTTCTTTACTTTACTCGAGTGATGACATGAGAATTTGTCAAACGTCTCTCTCATTTTATGTTTTGTCAATCCTGTTAGAAATATAAAAAGGGTCAACTAGGCCCCACGATTCAGAAGGCTCCAGGCCCCTTCAGGTGAGAAGAGGGTCTTTGCTTTTTAATAATCCCAATAGGGCTTATCCTTTTCTAAGGCTTGGCTTAGGACCTCAATTTTTATTTAAAACAGGAAATACTTCACCGATTTAATTAGAATTAAGCAATTGGTGCACATTGTAAATGTAGTGTATGTTTAATGATCTCAATCCTATCACCGCTTTCATCGAAATAAAATCTTAAATAATATCTACAATTTTGACTTAAAGATTAATATTCTAGAAACATTCTTTATATTAATTTTTCTTAAAAAAAATATATAATAAAAATCGCGTCATAGTATATACTGTATCTGGTGATGTTCCAAATGTTTCTTATTTCTTATCTAGGTAGTATCTTGTCGATTCATTAATCTTTCTAGAACCCAATTCAAGTTTTTTTTTTTATATATATAAAGTTATCGTAGAGTCTGATAGATGATTTATCTTAGATATTGTTAAAGATTATTTTCTTTTGACTTCTACAGACATACAAACACACTCACGTTTCTTATCAATTTTCATAATAATAGTAATAACGAACTATTGATTAATATTTATTATCATTAACTACTTATTCAATACTAGAAATAAATGAAAATCAATTGATTTTTTCGGGGAAATTTGGTAACTTTCCAAAAAATTTATTTAATTTTTATACATTTTTTTTCCTCCTCCTCCTTCTCTGAGAATTTTTTTTTTTTTTTTAGTTTTTAGAACAGATTTTATAACGTATATTAAGCGTGATTAATTAAGGAACCACAAATTTTTTTTGTTAAGTAAATGGTTTTGTATACATTCAAAAAACTTTAATTTATTATAAACATTGTTACTGTGCGGTCTGCTTGATGTAATGAAAGCCAAATCTATTCAATTTACTTAATATATAATGATTAATGATTTTTAATATTCTGTATTCGTATTCTAATAACATAAAAGTTTAGAGAACTTATAAAAATTTATTAAAAATCAGTTTTTAACACGATCATTAAGCCAAAAAAACAGCTACAAAATTTAATAAAAAGCGAGATTTTAAGCACTATTATGAAGTAAAACATATGGAGAACTTCTAAAAATTAAAAAGCAGAACATTTATTTATTTATTTATTTTTTAAATCAGAAAAATCAAACAGGTTTATCCATTTAAGTAATGACACTTATATAAGAAAACAAGAGCTTTTACTGATGCCAAACTGTATGTCTGACCTTCCAATGATGAAGTTAATTGAGACAATGATGTGATAAACTTCAAGAACGTTGTAAATCCTACTGGAAGATAGTAAATCCCAGATTATCGTTGTTAAATAACGTTTTAAGTTGTATTTATAATCTAGGATTATAGATTCTGAAGATTCTTTAGAATGTATTCAGGATCTAGTTTCCAGGATCTTTATGTTTAGAATAATCTAGGATTCTAAGCTATATTCTTTAAAATATATCCATGAATATACAATATCAATGCATGGGCAAACACGTCTAAAGCTGGGACTTCGTCTTTTTGGGATCATTTCACTGCTTCTCGTTGATAATTTTTTTCATTCTATATCCGTACTTGTATAATGCTTCTAAAGAAATTGTTTCAGAGGCCTTAAAAGTGCTTAAAATGGCCCTCTCAAGATCTTACTCAGAATCCAAGATTCCATGCTGTAAAGAGTCTTCAGGATATAATTAAAATTCAGAATCCTTACATTAAAACCCTAAAATTCTAAAACTTAAAGATTCATCACAATCTTAAGAGTTTATGCCTTAAAAATTTACCAATAATCTAGATAAGCAATTCTCAACCAGTGTTACTCTTTGAGATACGAATCGGTTCGTGCTGTAAGTGTATACACAAGAATCTCAGATGGTACGCGAGTTAATAAAGGTTGAAAACCACTGATCTAGAGTTCATTTTAATTAAAAATTATAAAAAAAAANTTCCTCCTTGAGGAAAAAAGAAAAAAAAAAGAATGTTCTGTCGTCATCATCGTCCATTGGCTTATTTGTTCGAAAATGATTCAAGTTTCGAGAACTTCTGGAGAAAAGCGAAGGACGTTACTGTCACCCGACTTACTTACAGGTAACTAATCAATCAATTTTAGTGCCTCACTGCTCCTTTAACTCACCCTCTTGCCCTGGGGATCGGCTATAAACAAGGAAGAAACTATCCGGCTAAGGAAGAAGAAGAAGAAGAAAAAATTTGTGAACTTTGCAGGATGTTTTGGTCCCGGTCTTTTAATCCATCGAATCTTTTTTTTTCTCCTCCCCCCTTTCGTACTCACTGCCGAGCTGGATATCGAATTAATGAAGCGAGGAGGGTAAGTGGTCAAGAGGGACGAGTTAGTCACGGTTGCAAACGGAAGGTCTCGTTATATGTTGTGGTTCGACAATAAGCGGGGTGGAGTTATCACGACCTTTGCCACCTCTAAATGACGACTACAAAGGAGAAACGATGTGGATTTTTGATGGATTGGAAAGGACACCTTTTTAAGTTAGGCGGATGTTTACAGTTGTACTTATTCGATTGTAAATAACGTTTAATTTCATACACGATAAATACTTGTAAATTTATTGTAAGGAACGTTTCTTAGCATTTTATGTATTTCGAATTGATTACTTTAAAGTATTTTAGTTAAAACATCCAGTGATACTGTAACTTAATAAAAGCATTAAAAATTAGCACTGTAATTACCTATTGAATTGTGAATAGAAGGAAGAGGAAATTCACAGTATTGCATTACAAAAAACCCTTCGACAAGATTAATCGATTTATCTTCGGTGGTTGATCCTATACAAAATAATAATCTATGCGTTGTCCTAATATTCCGTACGGGAGAAATCACTTTAAAAAAAAAAAGCACGTCTCGGTTTAAGTTTACCTTTTTGACTATATTAGGAAATCTCCAGAAGATGCTCGTAAATTATAAATTCAAAGAGTATAATTAAATAAAATAAAATATGCGAAATTACAAGAGAAACGTTCTCGTAATCTTATCTCGGAGAGGAAGAGCGAGATTACATTCGCATATTGGTGCGAGTAGATGAATATCTATCATGTTACCTTGTCAGTATAATATTTACCTTGTTGTGGGTCATGCGGTGGTAGTAGAGGTTAGAGCTGGCAGTGAATCTTTTACCACATATAGGACACTGGTGAGGTTTCTCTCCGGAGTGGATCCTGCGGTGGGTGTTCAATGAACTGGAGGTGGAGAACCCCTTCCCACACACGTCACACACGTGTGGCTTCTCACCTGTCAGATAAGTTACAGAAGAAGCTATAATTGATTGCAGCAGAGACGTGCTTCCATTTTGTTAACAAGCGTAACTGCTTCATCTTTGATCATCACCCCTCTGCGATGATGCGCCCGGAATAACTTATTAGCTTTGTATTTAAATAGCCTCAATTATAAAAATACACTTTAAAAAAAAAAATATTAACTAAAGCAAGAATAAAACTAAAGTTCAGATTTGATTAAAATGTTTTTATAATAATGATTTAATTGGATATTATGTGGACGTGTAATCTTTTCTTTTAATTCTGAATTAGTGAAATTGTTAATTGAAGATAGACTTGTTACTTAAAAGTGGATAATGAAAATGAACACAGATCTTACTCTCTTATAACGTTATTTTTATATTAAAAATGGAAACTAACTCTGATTTCTCTCCTACAAAATGAAGTTCGATCCTCTGTTAAACAATAAAAGAGTGAAACTAACGTAAAGGGAACGAAAAATTCCGAATGGACTAAAGCGAAATCTGTCTATTTTATTTAAATCGAAAGAAAAGACAATAAGAAGAATTGAAATTAAGATTAATGTAATTCTAACTTCATATAAAATGATTTGAACTCGATTAACTCTTAGAATAGCATATTTAAAATTAGAAAACAATCCTGTCATCAAAATTGAATGTATTCTTACTCTAGAATAACATATATAAAAATGTAATGCCCTCATTCTATGTCTATGAAATAATAAAAAGAGAGGTATACATACATAAAATTAAAACCGCAGACGTTTCAAAAGAAGAAGAAAATATAAAACAAAAGGTATAAAAAGATATGAAAGAATGTGAATTAAAGATTAAATAGATTTTTAAAAACATTTCTTTATCATCTAAAAGAGGTATTCAGAATTCTAAAACTAAGCATTCAGGAAATTAAAAAATGAACTCATTCCCGAAGACCTATATTAAATTAAATGATCGTTCCAGAAATAATAATAATAATAGATTAAAAATAATTTAAAATTAACCTTATTAATTTCCATGTTTGTAAAGAAAAAATATATATATATACTGTATATCATTTTATGAAATTTTTTCACGTTTCTAATAAAAGAAAGCTATTCTTTCTGAAAATATATACAATTTCCGATATGGTAAGTTGTAATATTTTAATCAACTCCACCCATCATTTAAATTATGAGCTTAAAAAATCATTAACGTGCTAAGTCACACACGTAATTTTACATTCTAACAAGATTTCTCAACGAAATAAAACGTTAAAATTACTAAATATATAATTAAAATCTATCATAAATATGTTTTAAATTAGTTTTTATTATAATTTTTAATAATAAATGAGATTTTCTATGATTTTTATAACAGATTCTGATACTTTATAACGAAACTCTTGATATTTCTTTACATCAAATAAATGCAAATTTTATAAATTTCTTTAAATATTTTAATATAATAAACTAAAAATATATAAAATTTTAAGATAGGAAAGATGAAATTAAAAGTTTTTTTTTTTATAATTTAAAAAAATAAAATTGTATATTAAATGCCACGCAAAGTTTATAATGAGAATGTAATAACACATGCGATAAGATATTTTAACTTAAACATCAATATTATAAGAATATTTTCTTATAATTTAAAATATAAAAAAAAAATTTAAAAGGTTTTTGACACGTTTTCTTACAAAAATATCCAAAAATTATCAAATAAATCCGTTAAAATCGTATTAAATTTTGGTGTTATAACTTTACCATTTCATTTACGTTTAATTACTTAATTATACGAAAATTAAAATAAATACTAATGAAATTCTTTAAATAACGTTAAATAAACTAAATTATTTTAGTAAAAGTCTTAAAAAATTAAATAAAAATTTGCTTACCTCCTTGTGGAAAGTACTGAGAAAATACACCTTTAAATGTTTCTTCCGTTACGATACCAGAGGGACATTCCTGGAAATTGTTTTTTAGAAGTGATTTTTTTTAAAGAAAAAAAGTATCTTAAACTAAATAACAATACACGATTTGAATTTTCAATATTGTTTCTCCTTATTCTACTCACGTAAAGGCCGAAAAAATCATTTAAACATTTGATCCTGAATCATTAATAAATGAATATATATCACCGACACGCTGAGTATTTCTGCACCAGAATTGATTGTGAACAAGTTATTTAAGGATTAAATGAACAAAATTTGATATATTTTTAGTTGAATTTCGCAGAAAATGATCGACTCATATATTTTTTAACGTTTCTTACAACACTTTTATGCTTCTTTTTAAGATTTTTACAAGGCTGTAATTTGCTGTAAAATTTATATTTATGTACTTTTAGAAACATTATATTTTCTTCTATAATATTAATATTTGTATATTAGTATAATAGTACATAAATTTATACTGTATTTAACTTATTCTTTATTGTATAATACACATTTGTGTTTTCTCTCACTAGGCATTCGTATCTTATAAATGACTGAAAAATATATATTTGTACATATACATATTATATTTAATTTATTCATACCTTAAATATTTAGTAGCGTAACTAGAATCACTATTAGGGGATCCGAATTAGAAAGTGCAAACTTATTCCCCCCGTACCGTTTTGTATATAGCTATGAGTAAAGAGTAAAGATTAGATATTGTACTATACATACATGTTTATATAAAAGTTTGTCACATTTAAATTACTTTAATGTACTGTACTTATTTCAATTTTTCTTTATTTCTTTATTTACAAATGTAAGGTGAATCCGGATCTCTGGTTACTCTACTATACATATTACTACAAAAGATATATTTAAATACTTTAACAAAGCCTGCAAATTATATACTGTATTTATTTACCCATTACAAAACATTGGCATTTTAGATTCTGTTACAAAATCTATATTTGTGTACTTCACAAGTCACTTTTACCTTACACGTGCCAAAAACAAGAAGCTCTACAACATATATTTTTATAGCTTTCTTGTATTGAAGCTACTCTAAAAAGAAAAAAAAAGGAAAAGAAAATCTTGTGACGTTCCTTCCTACCTTTTTCATATTTTTTAAAAAAAAATATCATAAATCCTAACGACTGTTTACAAGATTACATATATTTAACCTTTATCTATTGATTTTTCTCGTAGGGAAAGAGGAAACAAGGGAAAGTGGATTGTTTGAGTAAATTGCTCTTTAGCTAAACTGTCGTTTTTGTTAGAAGACAGGCTATTTACTCATCTAATTCTGAAGGTATAAAACTATTATTTTTTCTGTATATTACAGNACAGCTACAAAATTTAATAAAAAGCGAGATTTTAAGCACTATTATGAAGCAAAACATATGGAGAACTTCTAAAAATTAAAAAGCAGAACATTTATTTATTTATTTATTTTTTAAATCAGAAAAATCAAACAGGTTTATCCATTTAAGTAATGACACTTATATAAGAAAACAAGAGCTTTTACTGATGCCAAACTGTATGTCTGACCTTCCAATGATGAAGTTAATTGAGACAATGATGTGATAAACTTCAAGAACGTTGTAAATCCTACTGGAAGATAGTAAATCCCAGATTATCGTTGTTAAATAACGTTTTAAGTTGTATTTATAATCTAGGATTATAGATTCTGAAGATTCTTTAGAATGTATTCAGGATCTAGTTTCCAGGATCTTTATGTTTAGAATAATCTAGGATTCTAAGCTATATTCTTTAAAATATATCCATGAATATACAATATCAATGCATGGGCAAACACGTCTAAAGCTGGGACTTCGTCTTTTTGGGATCATTTCACTGCTTCTCGTTGATAATTTTTTTCATTCTATATCCGTACTTGTATAATGCTTCTAAAGAAATTGTTTCAGAGGCCTTAAAAGTGCTTAAAATGGCCCTCTCAAGATCTTACTCAGAATCCAAGATTCCATGCTGTAAAGAGTCTTCAGGATATAATTAAAATTCAGAATCCTTACATTAAAACCCTAAAATTCTAAAACTTAAAGATTCATCACAATCTTAAGAGTTTATGCCTTAAAAATTTACCAATAATCTAGATAAGCAATTCTCAACCAGTGTTACTCTTTGAGATACGAATCGGTTCGTGCTGTAAGTGTATACACAAGAATCTCAGATGGTACGCGAGTTAATAAAGGTTGAAAACCACTGATCTAGAGTTCATTTTAATTAAAAATTATAAAAAAAAAATAATAATAAGAAGAAAGAAATGCTTACATTGAAGACCTTTTCAACATGTTCCATAGCAGAATATTCGTCAACAGCTGGATCTGTATAATGTCCTAACATGTCGTATATAGCACTAACAATATTTAACATTTCTTGCTTCGTGATATATCCATCACCATTGATATCATACAATCCAAACACCCATTTTAATTTTTCGTTCACGGTCCCACGTGAAAGTGACGATAAGAGATTTATAAAATGCTGTCAAAATAGAAGAGGAAAAAAAAAAAGAGAATTACTGCAGTAAGCATCCTATTGATTAATGACACAAAATAGTACTTAGAACTCTAAATGGATATCTTGATTACTCTTCGCATCATCACCTTCACTGCTCTTAATGATCCAAAATGAATCTAGTCTATGATAAGTGGAACATGGATAGAAACCATTTTAAAATATATTTTCAGTCTATTTTAAAGGTATAAAACATATAATTTTTTTTCCTTTTGATTTTCTTACAACTAAATAATAAAAAGTAAATTAGTATTTATTTTTTTTTTTAATTTTTGTAATAAAAGTTCATAAAAATTGTAAAATTATATTAGTAATTAAGTTTATTCAGAAAATACATTAAATATTATTTTTAAAACTATATTAAAAAGAACGAAAGACAGAGAAAACTTTCGAATATAGTTAATTATCATCTTCAAAAATACTCTTTAGTTACATGGAAGATGAGGAAGATGATCATCTTCCTTATCTTCCTCACCTTTCATGTAACGGATGAGGAAGATGAATCTTCTATAATATATTCATCTTCTATGTAAATAAATAGAGAAGATGAAGAATTTTTATCCTCCTCATCTCCCATGTTTAAAAGTTGTTATTATTAACTATTAGATTTATAATTTTTCGTCGAATAAATTCTAGAAACTGATGAGGATGAAACAACATCATCCACGTTTCAAGTAGCAATTATTATTTATTGAATCTACATTTAAATAAGTACATTAAGTTCTGTAAATATACTAACTAAAATAAAGTATAAACATTAATTAAAAATTCATTTCTTTTTATTATATTACTGAATTACAAATTAAAGCAATCACCATAATCTTTTTTCCATTTAAATGATCTTTACTTAAATAAAGAAAAAAAAAAGATGATTATTTAATCATCTTTTTAAATTAAACAAATATTTTTAAATAACGATAAATATGTAATTAAGGTAATTAAAAAAAGACTTTTTTTTTTT